ATCGGTTTAAGTAAGGTGCGGAAAACTAAACCACCGAGGCTTACACGTGGTACTTGAGGTGGGCACATTGCGATAGCGCATGCGGAGTAGCCTCGGGGAGGTTCAGCAGGTCGGGTATGGCCAACGTTAACAAAGGCCTGCCTTGCGAATTTTTCCTTCAGCCGGGTAATCTGATCCGTCGTAGGGACACGGGACACCCGGGCGAGAGAGACCGAGTGAGCAAAAAAGATCGATGAGGAAGCAGAGGCAGGCATACAGGCAGAATAGACAGACAAACACCACACCACCGCACGCACGCACGCACGCACGCACGCACGCACGAACACACAGAGATCGGAGAGCAGGAGAGAGAGAAAAAAAACCGAGAGAGAGAGAGAGAGCGAGAGAGAGAGAGAGAGAGAGAAAAATAATTATCGCAAAAATAGTATCGTTGACTTGTGCGATGGTTTCTCATGCAACCCGTTGGCTCGCCCGTTTACATTGCAGTGTTTCTCTGCGGTAGCTGTTCTCTGTTTGTATGAAATTCCGCGCGTTCCTCTCCCTTATTTATTTTTGGTGATAAAAATACGAAATTATTTTCATCGGCGAAGTTGCCGCTTCATATTCATATCGATATCAGTCACAAACTATAGCTCCGCTCTTTGTTTGTGTTGTACGTTCGACGTGTAAACTCCGCGGTCGCGTTGCTTTATGTTTTGTATATTTGCGTTAGTAAATATCAATAAAACACTCGCGTGTATCGACCCGTACAACACTCGGCTAGAACACCTGTTTTTCTCCCACTAGGGATGTTTGCTGTATGTCGAATAAAAGTTAAGTGGACACATGAAAAGTGTTATTTCTATGCTTTTGCCCGTGATCGCCGATAGCCGTCAAAAAGTATAGAAAAAGAGAACCGCACCGTCATGAACAGCCATCTTTCCTCAATTTCTATCTATTTTAATCTTTCGCTCTCTTTCCCTTTCGTTTTCGTTCCTTTTAGCTTTTTCTCTCTCTTCTATTTATTTCTCTTTTCTTCGTTGCTTTTTTCCTACTCCATATTTTTCTCCCCTGTCTCTCTCCCTCTATCTCTATATCTCTCTATCTCTCTATCTCTCTATCTCTCCCTTTCTCTTCGTCACGTTCTCACGTTCCCTCCATGGCTGTGTTATCGCGCACCGATCTGCGCTTCAATGGCGCAGCCTGCAAGACAGACGTGGCCGCATCCGCAGCTCTCTGACAGGTGAGAGATGTACTCACCGCCTACAACTACGCGCCGACCAATTACGCTCGAAGACTCCGCTAAACACCGCCAACAAGGCATGAAAACGAGCCACACAGCGCACCCATTGATAATTCGATAATGGTTCCATAATGACATTATTAAAGAGGAATCTGTTTACAATCAATTTGCCTAAGTTCGCCATCCGGGGGGAGCGTGTGGGGTGTCTTTGTGGGCACGTTGTTCTCGAAACGCGCCGAAATTGGGGGAATTTTGCGAGGCGAGTGCACCACGCGGAACGCACGCCATTGCCGGCTGCCGGGATTACATCCGCGGGCACCGTACGTCCGGTACCCGGGAGCCGCCGTTCCTCCGCATGCACGTCATGTATACGGCGGGCCATTGTCGATTCGCGCGCACGTTCTCACGGCAGCCGGAAAGATGAGCTACGCAAGATGGCGGCGACGGACCCGCAACGGCGCGCAGACAATGCGCGGCCGACAAAAGCAAGTTACGATTTCCGACGCAGCGAACAGCGGCGCATAGAAACGCGGCAGGAAGGTGTGTGTGCGCGCGCCACCCAGCAGCGTATACAGCCTTCCTCCTTCCTCCCGCTCAGCTTCCCCGCGCGTTGCCGTGTCCGCTGTCGGGTTTCCCACGATGTTCGCGCCCCGCGATATCCGCGCAGCTCGGTCTACAGACTCTACACGGTCACACGTGCACGGATTTTATTCGGCTACTGTGCAAACAAAGACGCGCAGACGAAATTTGCGCGCGTGGAATTGCGTTTCCTTGTGGCCGAGCGCGACTTTCAGCGATGGATCCTCGGCTTTCATATAACCGTACACATAAATGTGCATAATTATACATGCATATATATATGATGATGATTAAAAATCTCTATTATGAGCTCTTGATATATATGTATATAATATACCGGTTCTGTATGCTTTCGGCATCGCGTGAATAAGGAGTTATCCTTATTCCTATCTAAGGTCCTATCTAACTACGTACTAATTTTGGTTGTTACGGTACCCGAATTAATTTGCTAAATGCATCTTAAAAGAAACGTCAATGGGTTATTAGATCAGTAATAAAGTATTCATCACACACGCACACATGGAAAGGGATATGTGATATACTCGACAGTATTTTGCTTCGCAAGATAGCATAGATAGCTATTTGTATACTATACAATTACTATGTATCGTAACTATTCGCATTGAGTAAACGTACAGATTCATACTCATACAGTTGAGATTTGGTGGAAAATTGGACTTACCTATGTAACTCTAATTAACTACTCCTAATTTACTCGTTCGCGTTTCACACTGAATGACAATTTTTCGTGTTCTGCAGAATGAGAAAAATAATATCTCTTATTATATAATCTCATTATTCCCGGAACAACCCAACACGATATTCATGGTGGCGTCTAAAATTTATACAATATTGGCTTGAAAAATGTACCGGCGATGAACGCACGTCATATTTTCAAATAGAATATAATAACATGAATTTTCGACGATGTCTAATTTTCCTTTCGCCATGATGCGTAGTGTTTCATATAAATGGTCGCAGACAAAATACGAAATGTAATATTCTCGCTTTGCAATCGTTTTCGGGCGCCAAGTAAAAACAGATCATGCACTCATATACGCCATTGATACTGAGTGTTTATTTATTTTCCTGTATTTCTCGTGCTCTTTCTTTTCGCTATGGACTAAAAGTGCTTGAATGCAGCACACAGTTTAATGGTGTCTCAACATATGGTGTCCTGGAATAGTGCAGTCTACGAATATATATATATATATATATATATATATATATGCGCAAACTGGACTACCTATTATACCTAAATTATATTATCCATCCTGTAATAATAATTTTTCTGCGCTATTAGATTTAAATGCATATATTACATACAATTTGTATATTTATTTTATCATTATAATGTATTGAAAATGTAATCATGCGATATTTTGCTTTTTTGTTGCCATACTTCTCAAATTATTTTGCTATTTAGTTTATTTATTTTATTTAGTTTATTTATTTTAGTGTATGCTACGACGATATTCTGTTTACTCTATTTTACTTAATTTACTTTATTTTACTGATTAAAATTCACGATTTGATTCAGGCATGTAGTAATATGCCACGCCGCTATGCAGAATGAGTCTGTTTAGATTCACGTGTTCTAGTATCTCCTATTTTTAGTTGGTAAATATAATATGGCGAATTCCATCGTTGGTGACATCTATGGCCACACCTTAAGGCAGTTCAATTCGCAACCTCATATATATATTGCAGCAACCGCTATAAACCTCTCTGTTTTTCGCGCAAATCAACCGAAAGTCAAATGTAATATTATCGAGCATGCTTGGTTATTCGTTGATTCTGTCGTCTCCTAGTCTATCCTTTACATTCACTGTACGTCGTATACTCTGTGGCCCAGACTCGATCGCTGCTGTCAGTAGCTGGCCACATATGGGCGCGTCTGTAAGCTCATGCGAAGAAATAGCCTTAACCTCTACACAGCACATTCAGTGCTGGTTGAACCCTCATGATTCCAACCATATATATAGGCAACAACTCTCCTTAAAATGAAAGCATCCGTTGAGTAAAGCGATAGTAGTTCGCCGAAGATACAACGTTTTACAGCGACCCTATGAGTGCTTATATAATATCGTATTTCGCATGAAGCGTCATTATTTTCGGAACAGGCGCTCTCTATAAAGAGTAAATTTATGGATTACTGGCAATAATAGGGTAAACGTATAATTTTAAATTACAATCGGGATGTATCGGTAATTATCTACCACATCCTTTATAGCTTTCCGTATTGTTAGAGAAGTGTGCCGGACAGCGGCCACGCGTAATGGTTCCTAATTATGAGGGTTTTGTCTGCATGAAAAGCCTGCAATAATCTATTTGAGATGCGTCTATGTAAACCACACAGTCAGAAATTACTCGGTGGACCGGTGTCTAATAGGCTTGCGTATTGCTGACTCGCTTTATCCTTTGCGCTTTTTCTCGTATTATTTATTCGAACCAATTTAAGCAGGAGCAATCCGATGGTTTGCTTCAACGTAAATATATTATCTTTACGCGCGGATTATGTAGCGTACACCAAATATGTACTCTGGCATGTTACACGCTCTTAATGAAGTCGACTGTCTACTTTTCTAAGATTATATGAGAGAGATTTAATTGTATTTGAATATTGAATAATGATAATAGAATATATTTTACCGTCATATACAGTGGTTTCACTGAGAAGTCACGTCGTGGCGTGCAATAATTAATATACCCATATCGGTCTCGTATATTTATATATAATAATTCCTGAAAATGTTGATTGTTTACAAGGGAACGAAAAATTCGAAATACAGCGTTGGAAATATTAACAGGCTAACATAATGTAATTTCATCCATTATTTACATGTTCAAATTTATATAAACCTATAAATGTATAAAAATTATCTTAAAAATATATATATATATATATAGTGGCGTGAGGGACCCGTATATATATCTATATGTAAAAAGTAACCACATAATACACATACGTCACGTGAGTTTCAAAGAGGCAAAATCTCAAAACGGAACAGCGGTAATCCTCTTTATCCGCATTTACTAATGAATTAATTATGTGATTTCTGATGTGACCACACAAAAAATGCGTTAGTAGACACAGGCATATAGGTCTTCCATAATTCGACCGACAGTGCTGTGTAGACGCTGTATGTCAGTGTAGTAGTTTCACGCGTGCAAAACGACAGCGAATTGTGTGCCGTACTGGCGCGGGATTCGGCGGCTAGTTCTACGGTGCCGCGTATGGCTCGCACATGTCCGATTCCACGCGAGGACTCGCTCAGGAAGCTGTATAGTCTCCAACTCGTGGTAGGGATTTTCCCGCACCCAAGCCTAAAATTGGACCCACAATAATCCCGTACAGCCCTACAATACATTCCATAGCGGGAACAGAATTGGCTCGGTTAATGCGCGTATTACTACTGCACATAGAACGCGCCGTGGCGGTGAGAACACAACTAGAATAATAATTAAGAGGGCAAATAGTGACGAGCGGTGGATTATGAGCAATCTTTTCATTCACACTTGCAATCCCCCCGGGTACGCTTACGATTCAATGCTGTTCTATCAATAATTAAACACCGATAATTTACGTACACTATAGACGTGGAAATGTTACTGGTATATCAATTCCTGGGAACGGAAGAGAGGATTGTCACAATTACCCGAGCCGATATTAATTATAATCCTATAACCCAGGTGACAGACACGCGAATGATTCGGTCATAATAGTATCGAGAAAATAACTTCACGACTTAACGAATCGCCAGCGAATTTCGCTATTTAGTAAATATCACATGCATGCAGACCGATTAGCGTGACATTGACTATATTTGCACACAATTTGTGTTAAACACAGTGACCGTTGATGTCAGATATATAAACATATATATCATATATATATATATATAATATATGTAAATATATATATATAATTATATATATATATATATATATATATATATATATACTGATAATTTCTTTCCGCTTACCCGGTTCGCTCCTCCGATGTGATAGTTGTGCTGGTAGTCGCCATGCATGTTCGGTAGGCCGCAGTTCTCCGGGTGATTAAAGGTGTGAGAGTCGACCATCTCAACACCCGCCTTGTCTTCCGGCCGCATTCCAACCGGAAGCGCCAACGTTTATCCGTGCGCGCACTGCCGACGGTGGTCGTCCCCGACTATCGCATGCACGTCGCCGACCGACGATGGCTTGACGTCTGTGAACTGAGTCTCTGAGTCGTCGGCAGCGATACTACGTCGGCCCGCAACTCGGTCCGCTGGTTGTCGTCGCCGACGTCACGCGTGCGTCGCCCGACGCCGACTCGGCAATGACTGCTCGCCGTCCGCTGCGACGCTGTCGGCCGCGCGCGGTTCTCATCCGCTGCTAGCGCAGAACGCCGACGGATCCTGCATGCCTGGCCCCGGCCGTAGAGGGGGGCTGCCTGCGCGCTCACCTACGACTCGAGCTATTCAGTCGGGCCCGCCTGAATGCGACGCGGCCGGGCGGGCAGGTAGGCACGTATTCACGGGCGCTGCGGAGCACGGCACTGAATGAAGGGTATTGTCGGTGCGCCGAACAGACCGCTCAGCCCCCTCTATGCACTGCTGCCTCTTCAGCGCGCTACTGGCGTGCATTGTCGCTGCGGCGGCTGTATGCTGCGTAATTGGGGAGGCGTGGTCAACCCTGTAGGCCTCGCGCTGCCGCTATTCACGCGTTTCACACTTCGGCTCTCCATTCGCTATTTGCGGCCGGGATTTGCGTTGCCACCTCCCCTATACATATACAAAATGTATGCGGCGGGGCCTGCGCGGAAAAAACCGCGCGTTTTCGGGAAAATTAAAACATCTTTAGGGCCAATGTGCGGATTTCGTGTACATTTTTTTCAAAATAGATAGTATGACTAAACCGGAGCCGGGGAGGTTAGTCGGAGCTATTCCCAGGTGAAACAGACTTGCGTGAGAATCGGGGAATTCGATGAGCGGAACGATAATCAAACTCACAAGGCTGCTAGAGTTTGAACAAGAAGGTTCATGAGACAAACAGTGTTTGACTGTCGCTCGACCCCCCTAACGCGTTATCGGTGGATTTACCGAGCTCTTATTTGATCAGGGAGATGTGGGCGTGGTGTGCCGGGAAGCAAAACAGCGCCCGCACACTATTCATTCGCGTCTAGCAACGATTCGCATTATGAACAGCTAGCACCCTCCTTATTCTCTACATGGGGTCGCCAGCAGAACCCGGGCATTACAAGAACCCGCCTTCTACTCAGCAGCACCAACAACAAACAACCCGATCTGAGTGATAAACATATAGATGTCAACTCTTTTTACACACACTTATATACTTTACTCGTTGTGATACCAGCGTGGTAATTACTATAAATCTTGGTATCTACACGTATATAGTTAAATACTCCAAACGAGATGACTATAATAATGATTGGTGATCCATTAATATATATGGATGGATGGATGGATAAATAGAGAGAGAGATATATAGATAGATAGATAAATAGATAGATAGATAGATAGATTGATAAATTGATGGATGGATGGATGGATTGATTGATTTGTGGATGGATGGATGGATGGATGGATGGATGGATGGATGGATGGATGGATGGATGGGTGGATGAATGGATGGATGGATGGATGGATGGATGGATGGGTGGATGAATGGATGGATGCATGGATGGATGGATGGATGGATGGACGGACGGATAGATGGATGGATGGATAGATGGATGGATGGATGGATGGAT